CACACACACACACACACACACACACACACACACACACACACACACACACACATACACACACACACACACACTTACACACACACACACACACACACACACACACTGAACAAAAAAAATATCCTCATCAGGCTGCCAACATTTTGTTTATTTAATCTAACATGTGAAGAAGCATTTAACAACATATTTGAAATGATTATCTCTTAACATTATCCAACATACAAAAACTTAATAAATGCTCCGAACCGAAGTCAACTAGGTGGCATCTAAATTCTTTATGATGCAAGCAATGATCACTGTCAATGTTTACTGCCTTGTCAATTTACGCTTCCTACGACTCCCCTCTTTACATTTCTGGCCTGTTCAAATTTTCATTTGCCATGCTAAATCCCTGCACAATCAAAAACAATTTATTTGCATCTTGAGGCCTCCGTTGGTCTAGCCAGTTAAAGTGCACGATTATAAAGCGGTCAATACTGTGCTTTTATTTTTTTTCATTTTCAGTGCATCGGGCAGCACTTACGGTTAACAAAAAAAATTTGGACCATTATTCATCACAGGGAAGCTTGTTCTACGAACGTCACTTTGTTACGAAATACCGATTTGAAATGTCGTTTTTGCAACAAAGTTACGTTATTAGAACACATTTTATAAAAATTATGAACGTTTTTATGTTTCTCACATCTTGTAATGAGTTATAATAATCAATTCCTGGCTGGTTCGATTAACAATAAAATCGTGAATATTTCTTGACTTCCTTGGGTTTTTGGCCACACAATTTACAAATGCATGCAATAGAAGGCTTAAAAGAATTTCAATAAAAAACTGTGGATCTTTATTTAAGAGATTTTAGCCATAGGCTAGTTCATCTCTAAAGTGGAACGACAGAAAAGAACATTCATATAGGATCAGGCATGAGTTCCAGTTGGAACGTCACATGACAAGAGAAAGGAAGAGGGTTTAGCAAAAACCTCTACCTTCCTACTTCTATTGAACGACATAAAACATCTACAGGCAAAATCAACCATCCTGCGTAAAGTTGATGCATATATCTCGGCATATATAGCTATTCTATTCACATATATGTCACCAGCTGAGTAAGTTTTAATGTCGTAGAACGAAATTCTCGCTAGGGTGTGTTAGGAACCTTGATTCCCATCGGACTGAACACGTTAGAGTATTCCTTAAACAGAAAAGCTTATCGACAAGCATATCTATTATCATAAGTTTTGTTTTTACTTTTTTGGCCACGTGGTGTTGATATTATATGTCTTCTACCATATTCGCCAGGACTACAGGAAACAATTATCTCCTTGGAACTGTTAACATTTTGCCTCGAGCCGGTTTAATGTGCATCCTGCAGACGAGATCAGATGAGTTATATTAATTGTTCGTCTGGCCACAAGTGTTGCTGCAAAAAAGCAGGAAATTAGATCACATAGGTGGGAGTTATGGCTTTTACACTATCACTGGGGATGCCTCTATTGATTGTGGTTATATATGAATAATAGTTTTATTTCTTTTTTATCTACAATGAAAAAAAAAATAACTCACAGTAAACATATGAACGACGAAAGTATAATAAAACAAAATCAAAACCAGGTATTAAATTCACACTTCAACAGTTCAAATTAGCCTTAAAAATCTTCAAAATTCTTGTACTTATATTCATGACGATATATGATGAAATTCAATGTTCTATTCATAAAGTTAACAACCCTAAAAACGCGTTCTACAAAGACAAAAAGACATTCCTTTATGAAAATTAAATGCTTACCGTTTAGCATCACAGAATTGGTTGACGTTTATTTTGCACTCGAGCTCATGGTATCACCAGCCGTGTGCATTATTACGAGAATGGGTGACTGCCTGTACACAATTGGACTCTGGTGAAGGTGGTACACTTGTAGCACATATTGCATATTGCATATGTATAAGTATATGCACCAGATGATGCAGAAAACTTTTTGTAGCTAGCTAGGCAGTAGTCTTCTAGTAGACAGAAAACCGTCAGACGTTTCTTGTCATGATATCTGTGCACGTGGAATCTAGGAAAATTACGCAATCGAACGTGAAATGGTGAAACATGTTTGAGTCCTGATAGAATTATCAACTTATTCCTTACGTAGAGATACAGATGTATGAATTTTGAAGCTATCGGTATTTTCGACAGTCATTGCCATTCTTTATGTTTTCTTCTAGGGTAAGTCAGACAATTATGGCATAATATACGCAAAACAACCACTTTTTTACCCTACCCATTTAAATGACTTAGACAAAGACTGGTACATGCCCAAACTTTAAAAAAATATAGTGCCATGCCCTTCCCTTGACATATTTTCATATTTTTTCACTGTGTGTGACATATATCCACTACGATCAATAACTGATGTTTTTTAGTATGCTGACCCTTAGTTTGATGAAAATTTTAAAATTTATAATTAATAAAATTTCGAACCATGATTTGCTATTGATAGCTGAAAAATAAATAATTAAATACATAGTTGAAGATGCTAATTTCAAATAACAGACTGTAGTGGTAATTTTTATACGATAGATGGAGTAGATGAAAGCATAGAGTTGATAGTTCCGTTAGAGTACGGCAGTGTGAAGATTGTATATAGATATTAGAATAGCGAACTAGGACAACTTTTAAGGAAGGTACAAATCGGTTTTTTCATCTCTCTTTACCAAACTCCCCCTTTGGAGAGGGATGGTGAGGGGTGTCCCCCCCCCCCCCGCCACCACTGGCAAAAAGAGATGAAAACCGACCCGTTCAAGTACCAACTGTGTGTTTGAAACAGTTCTACCGATTTTTACCGCACTTCAATTGTTATTTGAAGGAAGGCATCCAGTCGTAGGTTTGGAAATTGCAACTATTGTTTACCCCTACCACGATATGTGCTCCTGTCATCGTCGACTTGACGATCTCGAGGGGACACGGGTGGGGTAGGTGTTGCTACTGAAAAAAAAAAAAAAAAAAAAAAAAATTAAATACAGTAATTTCTCTTTACAACTCGATATTGAAGGGAGCATAGATCAGTGCACGGTCCCTAACCTCACTTTTTGCTCCCTATCATTTTGCTTCTGAGTAAAAGAGATAGCAACGAATGGGAGCCAAAACAAACCACCCAAAACTGTCAAAACTTACGGGTGAGAGAAGAGTGCGGCAAATCTTCGTGAACTGATCAATAGAGTTATATAATTATGCACGCTTAGAAAAATTCATGTAAATTTAGGTGCTCTGAGACTGGCATAAACGAGCGTCAATTATGACATAAAATTGAGTCATAATGGACGTGAAATTCAACTCAATGAAATTTACTTTTCGTCGAGTAACAAACTTTTCAATCTCGGAGCACTTAATTTTACATGACATGTTAGTTCACGTCTCATCCTTTATGTCAAAGATGGATTCCGTCACGTGCAAAATTAGGTAGGTATTTCTAATTGTGTTGAATATAGAACAACAAGTCCATAGCTAATCATCAACTCAGTAGCCATTTAATTCATTTTTACTATGGTTCTATGTGGTATACTCTATTCAGTCTCATAAACAGGCGATCGTGAGGTATGTCTGACTTCTTTTAGGTTCGAGGCCGTTGAAATTTTCTAAGATTACAAATCTCTAGTTACGTCCTAAGGAAGAAAAGTAAAACAGTGAGTTGCTTCTCTAGCGTCGGTGGTAGAATGAGGGCTGAGCATAAGTTCATTTTTAGGGTAGTATATCCCGTGTCCTTAGTTTAGTGGATGTCGTATTACTCCATCACTATTGAGGAATGATGAAGTATTCGATTTTTTGACAGTTGTCATTCTTGCATTTGCAGGATCCGGCTCTAATTTAAAGGTCCCGCTATTTATACCCTTCGGAGTGTTGAAACACCCTCCAAAGGCGCGCCCCTTTGTCAGTCAAGATTGGATTCCTTAGCAACAAAATTTAGGAATGACATCGATAATGACCATGCATCAGAACCCTAGTCTTAATCACTTCAAACTACGAACAACGAATAAAAAATTAGGAATCACATAGACGAAGACTAACTCATTTTTTCCTTGTTTCAAGACCATCCTCGCCGAGTCTTGTCAAAAAGACATAAAATGTAAAAAGGGCTAAGATGTGTTCTTATGATTACAAAACAATCCTGTTCCCCTAGTTTGAAGTAGTTCGGCAAGAGCAAATTTGTGCCAGTTTCTTATGGGAATTTTCGGTGGAGTGAAAGGATAGTACAAAGTCCGCCATGTTTCACGCACAGTCTGACGTTTGCTTATGGATTTTCTCATAGGAGTAAAGAGCTACAGAGTCGCCGTCAGCGCCAATTAGTTGATGCATACTTTAATTGTGTTTCCTTGACAGATTCAGTGCCTGAATTTTACATGGGCTTGGGATACGAAAATAAATTACTTTTCATCTGCTTACCAGGCTTAAGTGTAGATTTTACTTATGTACTTATTTTAATGCCAATATTGTTAAGCTGTGCTACTGTGCTACTGTGCTTCTAGGGGACCATAATAGGTCACACATTTGTAGCTCTTTCAAAGATTTATAGTAGAAATCTTTTTTAGTCAAACCTGCATGGTAAGTTTACTTGGGATCACGGGAAGTTAAACGTTGGTATTTTAAAACCAAACAACCCACCCATTAGACCATTTCATAGCATTGACCCGATATATGTGTTGAGCATCGGTGTTTGCTGTTGAAAAGTGTAGCAAATATTGGCCACATCAAATATCCGCAGCAAATGTTCGAATCGTTCACCGAGTACTTTCACCCATGGGAACAGAAAGTTATAGACGCAAACTGTCAATTACTGTTAATCTTGTATCTATCCATGTGCGTTTCCGTTGATAGATAAGGTCACTGCAGACATACATTCTAACATTCCTTTAGGCACCTCTGCCAATATTTGAAATTGTTGGCTCGGTATGATAGTAGGTTCCAGACGACAAGCTGTCAAAGCGTATAAATAAAGTTGTTTCTGGTAAGCAATGCTCAATCAGTGCTAGTCTACTTGAAAACCGCTTGGCTCGACGCCGATTTCGTTACACACCTAGTTCTGGGAAGAATACCTGTGTAGTGAAAATAAAATCATTGCGTCGTTGCCTGTAGTGTGGAGAAACCCATCATGAGTTCTTTGCTTTCGGCAGTGGGTGTTTTTCTGGTATGAAGAGAGTTTTACGGTGTATATACTTCCCAAAATCAAAGTGTAGCCAAACCACTACCGTTCAGAAGCATAAAAACACAAAAGCCAAACAAGCCTGACCCTGCATCCGTGTCTACCTTGAACACTCGAACGATAAAAGCAGTCAATGACAGGTTCAGGAAAACGTGTTGTGGTGGGTGCAAAAGTTCGATGAAAATAAAATTCGTGCCCTCTCGTTGTACTGCTGAAAAATGAAGAAAACTTATAATTTGTTGAACCCTGCCAACATATCAATTTAATGATAATTTCTTTCTAATTTTATTTTTATTTATTGCAATATTGTATAACTAAAAGTTTACTAGGTGACTGTATTAGTTTTTTTTTCGAAGTACGTACTAGAAGATTTACTAAACTTTGTTTTCTGAGTGGTGTTTTAGAAACAAATCGAAGCTTACTTAAAAGAGGTGCAAGAATTCTTACATGATATAAAGGACGGCTGTTGCACACAAGAAGCTGTAATGGTAGTGGAGAAAATGTACAATGGTTGGTAGATCAACAGTTGGAGCCCCTCAAAGTTCATCAGTTGCATTACCCGTTTGACATATTCCAGGCAGTGGTCTGGTAGGTTTTTACCGGATCCAATGTATGTTTATTGGCCTTACCTTTCAAAATCATGAATCATGTTGGTGATGTAATAATGAATTGTCTACAAAGATACCCTGGTGGAAACTGCTCTAGATGTTTCAGAGTGCCCACAAAAATTGATCATTGAGATAAAGTGTAGTGATCAACCGTTAAATTTTCGTTTCTCAGCAATCCTTTTTCATGATATTGTTTTATGATATTTTTGTAGAGTTTCATTGAGTAGATTTAAATAGTATGTACTTTCGAATCTTTTTCCTCAACTAACGGTGCACTCTACATGTACACTTTTGTGGAAGTGATAAAAAGTGCAACTTTTAGCTGAATTTTAGAGTTTTTTTTTCTAGTGCAGTGTTCGACAAAATTGTTTGTTCTACTTAATGGTCGCTGAATCCTGAATCTGAAATCATATATCGTTAAAATGATCGATTTAGTACCATAACATTTATGTTTAAGGAAACTGTAGTTAATTGCCTACATTTAGGCGTATTTTTTATTTTATGTAATTTTTTTGTAAGCAACAGCTTTTGTTGAAATTATAACATCACATTCTGCTTCTGCAAACACAAATTAAGTATAAATGCTAACTTCTGAATATTGTATTGCATATCAACCTGTATCAACTTCACTTCAGAATTGATAGTTTACATTTTTAATCTAATGTCAGGCCGATACAAATAAGGCCGATACGATAGGGCTTCCAGAAATTGCTGGCACACAAGGGGACAAAGAAAAAATCTTTGGCGGCAGGCACCTACAGTCTCCATACACTGATTAAACCGTTTTACGAGACGCTTTTGATCAGACTGATCATAACAATTTAACTGCACTTTTGGCAGTTCTATAGGCTTGTTAGAATTTTAGAATTTGGAATACAATACAGCACGGTGACTCTGGTAGAATAGCATTATTGTAAAAAAATAGTATCGCAGAAACACCTTCTAAACGAAATCTTATATGTCCCTCTCTTTGTTAGGGTTTAAAAAAAATATTTTTTGAATGTGAAATACGATGAAAATTAAAATTGTTCTAATCCCCCAATAGAATGTTTTTACAGTAGTCTTATTTTTAAAGGGACAAACGCAAGCTTCCGTTTGGTAGCTGATTCTGATACAAACATTTTCCGGTTTTATGCAAACAAAACAAATCACCATAACTTATTTTTACTACTGTCACCTGTTGAAATTTGGTTGCAGTAATTTCCGCAACAAGTTTTGCTAAATTTCCCAAAAGAACTGCTTATATAAAAAAGTAGGAATAAAAGTATTGTACCAATTTGTCAAACCATCGACCCCACATGTTTTTTCAAAGTTCTCGAAAAAACTGCTCGTAAATAAAAGAAGGAAGAATCTCCTTAAAATTAATAACTAACTTGTCAAACCGACGATCTTTTGACAAATTTTTCGATATTAATTCAAAAAGGAAAAGTAAATATTCTAAAAATATATTATCAATTTGTCAATCCTAATAGACAATTACCATATATACATATAATACCACAAATGGTTCAGCCTTATCCCATATTGTTGGAACTGAATATGTTGTTAGGCACTGTTTTAAAGTTATTTTCTATGGTTTCCCCACCGATCTTACAAGTTTTATGCCAAACGGGATCAATCACTTACGGCAACTTGTACTAAGATATTTTCAGTTAGTATTAGAGGGACCAAATTAGTACGGGAGATAGGAATAATAAACTGTTATGGATTTGTTTACTATGAATAGAAGATAATTAGATAAGTAAACGGTTTATCAACTGATGCACGTAAATGTTAAACTTTTTTTTTGGATATGGTATTCGGGGAAATGGCACATTCGGGGAAATGGCGTTCGGGGAAGTGACATTTGGGGAAACGACATTCGGAAATCCTATTCTTGACGTTTTGCATGGCTGTTTTAACTAAAGAGGGTGAATTTATACCCTTTACCCAATTCAACCTCAGTTTTAATCATCGGTCCCGTTGTGTAGATAGGTAGATGATTTTAACTGTTCTACCGAGGGGGTTCTCTGAGTATGCGAATAATAACCAATAATAATAAATTATTGGTTGTAGAATTTTACACGGGAACTAACCGAACTTTAATCTTGCACACTTCTTTTGTACCTTCAGCGAAGTGGTTGGTGGAAAGTGGTTGGTGGAAGTAGTCAGAACGAAGCGATGGTGGTGGATTTTTGCGGCACACAACGAGTGTTGTCAAAAATTATGTGTTGTACGTCGACTTAGACCGATGTCAATTATACAAGGTCTTGCCCAATTGGCTTATTGGTATTAGTGAAATGTGGAAATGTTTGTGGTTTTCGTATTTCATCGCAATGTTTATCTTCTTACATGAAATAGCTGTTTTCTGTTCGCAGTGTGGAATGTTGTGCTGCCGTGACATTTTTCCCAAGCACACGGCTTGTCGTAAAGAAGTTTAAAATACTTTTTAATGACTTACGTAAAGAATCAATAATACTGTAATATACGTCATTTAATACATTTATATAACCTAAAAAGCGCAAGACGTGGAGCTTATACAACTAAATACTGGTCTTATAACATGTTTTGGTAACATCATAAAAACCAGCGGCAAAAAAAAAACAATTAAAAAAACTTGAGCATGGGATTCGATCACTGGTCCTTGGCGTGGTAGAATTATTACTTCCTAACTAGACCAACTCCGTTTGATGAGAGGTTTGTTATAAGTATCTATCATCTTCTTGCCAATGGCATGAAAAGAATATTCTCGTTCAACACGCTTTCGATCCGTCATAAAGATGTTTTGTTAGCAGCAAAGTGTACATCTAATTGACAGAGTGTTATTTTAAAGTATTTTCAACTCCTTATAAGACAACCTGCACATTTTCAGTTGTATTAATTTATGAGATGTTATAAACAAGTGTTTTCAACTTTCTTTATAACAAACCTCCGAATACCTCATAAGAAACTGTCAATCACTGCGTGAAGAGACAGTCCGGCTCAATGGCGCCGTCAATATTTACGTCAATCTGGAAAGTTCACAATCTCGTCTAGAACTTTATAAATTCAACTAAGATTGATTTTGTATTCGTCAAGTTTTAAAGTGGTATTAAAACAGTAAGATGCACGTTTAAAAAACATTTAAATATAAAAGCAAAAGATAACTATTATGGCAAATGTTGAATCTAGGAAGTATGAAGATAACATCTATAAACCTCATATATAACGTGGGATGTTTTCTGCATCACTTATAATACATTTATATAACAAGCCGTTCTAATTATTTTCCAAAAAGATGTTTTATGTGTTACTTGGGTTGCTATTAACATCAGCTAGCTGCTTGTTGTTCCAGACCTTGTATGATTTACATCGGACTTAGACAAGCATGCAAGGGTCATGGTGTTTTCTGATCTGAGCGATATTTCATGTGTGGGGCGAGATTTTGCGAAAGTACGAGAAGGAGAGAAGTACTAGTTATCTCTCTTATTCCAACACAAATTTTGGTCCGCTCCGCTAATGCACGCTCAGATCATCCGTATATAATATTGGCAGCATTTATGTCAGTTTTGGATGTCAATCACGAGAATCTCTACACACTTAATTTTTTTCGCCGAGATTCCAACAACCGAGTAGTTCTGCAATATATTTTGCTGAGATTCAGTAAAACATTTGCCGAGACTCAGCTAACAAATTACATTTTGCTGAGATATCAGCTAACAAACAGATATTTTGAAGAGATATCAGCAAAAGTAAATGCCGAGGTAATCGGCTGTTGGATATTTTACCGAGCTAGATTAAGTGTGTAGGGTGCTCTGAGGCGCAAGAGAGAGCCGGATAACCTAATCGAAGCGCATTACCACGCTTTTTTTTATCGAATTTGAACAAAAAATATCGAATATTTATACTTAAGGCTTCCTATTCACATACTTTTCCATGTTTTTTTTCCTTGGATTTGTTTTCCGTCGATCTTGTTTTCCGTGCTGAGCACCAATGCTACCGACGCCAAGAAGGCAGCTCCCACACCTGTACCCTACCTATCGACCCATCAACTCATGAACCGGGGACCAACGGCTTTACTTCCCATCCGAAGGAAGGCGTGATCAGAGATGTTATGCCTCAGAACATCCCGGTGGCGCCGACTGGGATTGAACCCAGGCCTGCTGGGGTGAGAGGTAATCACGCTTACACCACCGGCGTCGCTACTTTTCCATGTGTATTATTTGAATTGATAAAGGGTAGTAACATGTTTCAGTATTTTGACATGAGTTTATTTCTCTAACAGAGTTATTCATAATATTAATGGTTTATGATTGAATAATTTTCAAACAATAATCCCTCATTTATTTATTATTATTATTATTATTAGTTCATCTGACTTGGACACAATGAAATACTTAAATCTTAATGTAGTCACTCATTAAAAATTGGCCGACAGCAAACGATGACGAAATCTGGAGGCATTGATATCAAAGTCAAATAGGTCAGATACTTCGTTGAGTTGATGAATCATGGCGACAAAGGAACTGTTTGCAGCATAGTTGGTTGCATGTACTACTTCATGTAGCAATGCTCTCGGACGGAGTGTTCGGGCAGGAGCATACATTTTAATTTTGGCCAGTAACTCAGGAACATCATATCCTGCGAGCATTACGTTATTACAAAAGAGTGGTCGCCTCAATTCATAAGCAAATATTGAAATTTATTTGAAAATAGCATCCGATTACAGAAAAATGTACGAACGATGAACGATATCAAATCCCCTAGTTTCATAAATTAATATGTGTGCAAAATGTTGTGCTTTATATTTACCAGTGATTTTTTTTCTCCCTTCAGGTGATAACTGCTACAGTGAATGCAAATCGTATTTTGTCGGTAACGAAATTCCAGTCTGGAACATGCTCGAAGGAAGGAATCATCTGTATCAATTGTAAAACCGCAGCCCAATGTATATTTGTGAACAATGCATGGCAGCCGGTGCCATTCGAGGATTGCGACGCCGACGCTGGTTTTTTCTGCAATGTTAACGAGGGCGGCTGTTCTCAACGCGTGGGAGCTTGCAATCCGGCCGGCCAGGAGGGAAATTTTGTGTGCAATACCATGGGCGTATTCCCTGATCCATTCGATTGTGAGAAGTATCACTTTTGCTACCAAAATGGGCAGAACCTGGTGTCCATTAACATGGTTTGCGAGAACACGGCCTTCTCCCCCGCGTCAGGAGATTGTTCGCTACCTTTGAATGACATGGTCTGTACCACCCCACAGTGGAATTGCACACAAGCAGGGGAGATGAACGCATGGCCTGGGAACAGTAATATCTATTATCTCTGTATAGCTGACACCAGAAATGGCATTCGTGTCCTATATCCTGAGCTTTTCCGGTGCAGCGCCAACCAGGTGTTCAGTGAAGGTCGATGTGTGGATAGACAAACAGTTCCGTCATTACCGGGCGAGGACAATTCATATCGATGTGACTCTCCTGGCCTGTTCCCGGATGTAACCAACTGCCGGCATTACTATTTCTGCGATGGCAATCTGAGCTCACAGCATCTTCAGTGCCCAGTTGGGAGCTATTTCCAGCCACAAACATCCTCATGCGTAGCGGGGACGTGCTAATGGATCCGGATATTATTACTCTGATCAGGTGTACATTTTGCTTTTTATTAACTTTCAAATGGACTCCATCGAGGGATCAGATGTTATTTGATTGTCATTATCTTTTACGTTGCATTTATTTATTGTAGTATAAAGTGCATCTTCGAATAAAACAAATAAATCATGAAAACAAATAACAAAAGAAAATACAATCTCTTTGTATTGTAACTGTTGACCAACTGGTGTAAGCATTTCCGGAATGCATTCGGAAGCATGTCATAAAACTGGTAAGTAGGCATCACAGCGTTTTACTAAATACAAAGTATTCCTTATGAATTTTAACACATTGTAACGATGTTACAAAATGGTACCAGTCTAAAATTATGTACAACTTACTTTATTTTTTTGCCCCATGCCGCAGAATATATAAAGGGTGATACGGTCAAAATTTGGTCAATATCAACTTGACGTATTTCTTTCAATTTTGCATTTAAAAAACCTGAACACCCCTCATTTTGAAGGTGTGTGTGTGTAGAATGTTGCTCCTATTTTGATTTTGGAATTCACTCTTCAGTTGTCAAAATGCCGTCCAAGCAAGAAGAGCAGCGTATCAAAATTTTGCTCGCGCATCGCGAAAATCCGAGCTACTCGCACGCAAAGTTGGCAAAATCGCTAAAAGTTGCCAAATCAACCGTTACAAATGTAATTATAGTGTTTGGGGAACGTTTGTCGACAGCCAGGAAGTCTGGATCGGGGGGAAATCGAAAACCGGAAGCCGCTGAGACGACAAAGAGAGTTGCCTGTAGTTTCAAGCGAAACCCTAACCTCTCTCTCCGAGATGCCGCAAATAAGCTGGGTGTATCGTCTACAACCGTGCATCGAGCCAAAAAACGAGCCGGACTATCGACTTACAAGAAGGTAGTGACTCCAAATCGCGATGATAAACAAAATACGACGGCCAAAGCGCGATCCCGGAGGCTGTACACGACGATGCTGACGAAGTTTGACTGCGTGGTAATGGACGACTAAACCTACGTCAAAGCCGACTACAAGCAGCTTCCGGGACAGGAGTTTTATACGGCAAAAGGAAGGGGAAAGGTAGCAGATGTTTTCAAGCACATGAAACTGTCAAAGTTCGCAAAGAAATATCTGGTTTGGCAAGCCATCTGTACCTGTGGCTTGAAAAGCAGTATTTTCATAGCTTCCGGGACTGTCAACCAAGAAATTTACGTGAAAGAGTGTTTGAATAAACGTCTGCTGCCTTTCCTGAAGAAACACGGTTGTTCCGTACTGTTTTGGCCGGATTTGGCATCTTGCCATTACGGTAAAAAGGCCATGGAGTGGTACGCCGCCAACAACGTGCAGGTGGTTCCCAAGGACAAGAACCCTCCCAACACGCCAGAGCTCCGCCCAATTGAGAAATACTGGGCTATTGTCAAGCGGAACCTAAAGAAGACCAAAAAAACTGCTAAGGGCGAGCAGCAGTTCAAGGCAAACTGGCTTTCTGCGGCGAAGAAGGTGGACAAGGCGGCTGTACAAAATCTGATGGCAGGGGTCAAGCGTAAGGCCCGGCAATTCGGATTTGGGAAAGCGGAAGCCTAACTGAATATTTTTCCTTAATTTTATACTAATTGAACTTGAAAAAGAAATTTAATTTGATTTTTTAAATAAACGATTTCACCGATTTACACGCGTTTTCCCTTGACCAAATTTTGACCGTATCACCCTTTAATTTGAAGCATGGGAATAGCAAGGGTTATTCTTGCACTTTCGTTTGATCTGAGTGCCCCTAGTGGTGGGAGGTTGAACCACAAAATTTAAAAAAAAACAACTCGTTATGTAATCCTGTTTGGCTCATCTCACTATGAAATGATAACGAATAGCCAGCTCAAGGACGTACTGATTATGTACATTCCGAGAGAACAAAAGCCTGGGAAACCGCGTTGGTTAAGTTTGGGGTGAATAGATACCATGAGGCGATGATCAACCTCTTCTTTATCTGATCGGCGAATAGAACAGACGTACCAGAAAAAAGTTAGTTAGTGCATTAAAGCAGTGAGTGAATGCCAATCAGGAACTATAGTGAGTGTTATTGGACAAGTGTCATTAAATGAAATTAATTTTGAAATTAGAATTATATTTTCAGTAAAAGTTAAAGGTGGAAAAAAAAAGAGAAAATTAAACGGCCCTTGTGCATTAGTTTTTTTTTAATTGAATAGTGAGTAAAAAAAAAATACCATGTAGTTTTGGAAAATGAATCTAAATTTAATTAATTTAATTAGGAAAAGACTAAAAAAACCGTGCTGCTGTGCTTTGCCGCACGGGTAATATTCCCTCGAGTCGCAGGTAATATTGCATTATATAATACAACCTAACTATGTGCTAGTGCCACGTTTTTTCATATTTGTAATGCGAACGTTTATTAATTCTCCTTGAAGGACACCAATCATCCTTCAAGTGAAGGTGTTCCCATCGGGTGTAGTGAATAGCGACCTGACACGCTACACTAGGGACGAATCAGAAGTTCGGCGGCTTGTAGGCCTGTCCTCGTCGTCGTGCCAGCATTCGCCCCTCTAGGGCCATTCGAAGGTCATCCACGCCTTCCCGAGAGGAATTCGGAAGCCAACTACCGAATTTAGCCTCTCTTCGGCTCGAAGGGAATTCGGTGCAAACCGCGTATATCATCAGGACACCGGGTGCGAATTTCGATTGACGCCAACAAGGATACGCACCATCGATTGCTCGGCTATTTTTGCCCGCCACGTTCGAGTGTCGGTTCAGTCCACCAACTGTGGCTTGGCTAGTTGGCCGTCGAATTCGCCGCCGCTTCCACGGACACACACTCTCCAATAGTTCAACTTGGTACCGTCTTGATCGAACGCCAATACAGCGGTACGAATCAGTGAGGATTGCAACACCACGGCCGAGATTCCGGTAGGTGGCACTGCCAGTTCACATTAGTGTCCCAGCTAGTACACCGCTCAATACGATCGACTCACTCATCGTCGGTGGCTAGACTCGCTCACTGACCAGCCGTTGGCTGTATGCAACAGTGCCATCGAGGAAGGACATCCGAGTAAGGACTCGCCGATCCGTCGCAGGATCAACCAGGTCAGAGATTTTATTTAGTTTTTAATAAACGTTCGCAGTTTAGAAATGGAACCGCACAAGCTAAACTAGAAAAAACATTAGGCCTAGAAGGTGAGAAACACTAGCAATAAAAAAAAATGAAATCCAGGAGGTTCAAGCAAGTAATATCGAATAGATTTCAATAGCACAAGCGACAGACCGAAAGAAAGTCGGAGGTTGATCAACGTGTTGTTTAATTTTCGGTTGATACATCTTTTTCATCGTTGGTTTCTTTTGTGGTTGCGAATGGGACGGTAGATTGCGAAGCGAGTTGTCGGGATTATTTGAGAAACAGAAAAACTCGCCTTGAGGAGTCTCGCCGGGAAAACTTGCTGATCCACATGCAAGCAGATTAGAACCGCTTGCTTGGCGCATAAGTGGAGAAAGTTGTCTGATTCTGGCCTCGTAACGCGTGAACCGTTACAACATCATGCGTATAAAACAATTGATAAATGCCTGCTGCTTAGCCGTTACCGGTCATCGAACTAGAGCAAACAGCATCAGCATTCCTTCCAGCCAGTGCCAGTGGAACCAATGCCTCTGCTTGCGCATCATTTGATACTTCCTACTCTGCTACTGAGTTCGATGCCATTCCAGGTTTTTTTTTCAGGTAACGCTAGAAATAGTATATCTGCAGCTGAAGCTGTGAATGGTACTGCACGACAATTAAGTAGATCAAATTTCTAGAACGATTCTTCTGTGTCAACTCCCGTTACGCTGGCTTGCAACGAACCGGTCTCAGATGCTATTAACAAATTAAGGGTGTACTACCAGAATGCTCGAGGAGTGCGCACGAAAATTGACGACGATTTCTTGGCTGTTTCGTCTTGTCATTATGACATTATAGTACTTACGGAAACATGGTTTGATGACAACATATTTTCGCCACAGCTTTTCGGAGATTCCTACACCGTTTACAGAACAGACCGCAGCGATGTTAACAGTCATAAATCAAGTGGCGGTGGAGTGTTGATCGCTATTTCAACTAATTTCAACGGGTATTGACCCCACTCCGGTAAATGTATATTCAGAACAGCTGTGGGTTAAGTTGAAACTACATCACTGTTCAGTTAGTATTGGTGTAATTTACCTTCCACCTGATCGCAAGAATGATTTACTTAGCGTGAATAGCTATATGGAGTCTATAGAAGCGATTCATTCACACCATGGGAATAACTTTCATGCTATTCTGCTTGGCGATTATAATCAATCGGGACATGTCTGGAACACACCAAGCTACGATCGCCCTTCCATAGATGCATTGCAGTCTCACATCTCTGTTGCTTGCGCCTCGTTACTCATTGGCTTTACCCGAGCAAAGTCTGTGATCAAATAGAAATCTAAATTTGATGTTGTGATTTCGCTGATAATGATTACTCAGGTTGCTGTCGTTTTGGTCGTTTTAACGGTTAAAATATCAAAATTGAGAGCAAAAAAATCTTCCTATGACATCACATTGGAAACTAATTCTGCTATCAGTGAGAGCAAACTGAAAACCAAATTTGATATCCATTTTTCCTGTTTATAGCAAAACAAGTATTCAATTTGATGTTATGCTAAGTCAATGATAACAAACCCGCAACAACATATTTCTGGAGAGCAAATGTACAGCAAAATGAAAACAAAATTAGGTATCAAATTTGTCAATTGTCTAAACTGAAATCAAATTATGATTTCAGTTTGATGTTGATATCAAAACTTGATTTCAATTTGCTGTCATTTTGATGCTGTACTTTGCTCGGGTAATCTGCATGGCCTGTCTCAAGTTAACTATATTACTAATCAGAACATGTGAATCTTGGATTTCGCTTTGGTGCATGAAGCAACGCTCTCTCGATGAAGAAGCTATAGAACCGCTCTCTATTCTTGATGCCAATCATCCCAGTTACGTTATATCGAGGTATACCTGTAGCTATTAGTCTCACAGCCTACTTAATTTGAGAGTTTCCCTGACGAACCTGGACTTAACTTTCACCTCGCTGATTTTGAAGGATTACTTGAAGCGCTTGGCCAGTGTGGCCAGTGTGACTGGCACCTCCTTGAATCCGCT